TTGAGTTCAAATGTTGGTCAGAGTTAAAGAGGCTTGGGTCCTCCATCATCATGGGGCCCTCCTAGGGCCTTCGTTGACCCACCATGGTTTAATCTGGTTAGCTCTATGGGTGACTCTTCTCCTTTATGTGTTCTTTCAGAGTAATTCTCTTCAGTGGACAGAAAAAAAAGTGGAAAAGAAAAAAATGTGCATTATCTAATTGCCTGGAAGTCAAGCCTGCATATTGTGGTTTCCATCTGGCCAGAAATCATCTCTCTCCATACACATGTATGATACATATATGTGTATATAATTCCATAAATGATTTACTTGTAAGAAATATATGATTATGAATTGTGTATTATACTTTGATATTTTACTCTATTTCTGGTAGCCAGTAGGCATAAATCGTATTATCCAGTAGGCATGTTACAGGGGAGGTTATAATAAAATAAATGTGGTACCCTGACTCAGGTGCGCCTACCCTCTGGGTTCAGAGCACAGCGGTCATGTTGTCATGGTGTGGTCGAAGGTTCATAACCAGCCCAAAGACACTGCTCCTAAGATTCAGAAGACACTCTAACATGGTGTTTGTAAAACACACATGCTGAAGTACATGCAATTCAAAGGGAGAGACAAAAACACACCAGCAGGAGCCTACACAAGGGAGGACGATGGACTTGAACTCTGGGAGCCTTTGTGGAGACAAAGGACAAAAACACCAGAGTTCAAAGGTCAGTTTAAGAGGAAACTACAATAATAGAAAGTGTATTTTCAACTCTTTCTGCAGTCCTAGGAACGGAGCCCAAGGCGTCACACAAGCCAGACAAACACTATGTCACTCAGCCCCTATGAATTTTAATGCACATTCAAATTTAGTAAGACATTCAAATAATGTGATTAACAAAAGCAGTCTACTTGACCTATGGGACTCTGACAACAGGAAAATCTATACTACGTATATATGTATGTATGTATGTATTTGTATGTATTACAAAAAAGTAAGTTTGCTCTATCATGTGGAATATTCCAGATCATGCTTTTTAACAAAACTTAAGATAAATTCCCGGGGATGCCCATCAGCTGGTAAGAGCTGATCTAGCATGCCTTTGTGACTCAATCCCAGCACAGAAATAACTGAACAGAGTTGCACATGCCCATGGCCCAAACACCGGGGAGGCAGAGGCGGGAGGTAGAAGCTCACAGTCATTATTTTGGTGAGTTCAAGGCTAGCCTGGGTTACGTGAAATCCTGCCCCCAACAAAAAAGAAAAGAAAAGAAAGAAAAAAAGATAAATATAAGGTAAATATCTGATAAAATGCTTAACTCCCCTAAGTGTTTGAGAAAGCAATACACTCATAAATATACGAATTAAGAAGAACATTTAGTAGGACTTTAAATGCATTTTGAAACTGTACCTTTTTAAATATTATTGAAAAATGTGTGAAAAAAGACTGCTTTTGTTAATCACATTATTTGAATGTCATACTAAATTTGAATGTGCATTAAAATTCATAGGGGCTGAGTGGCATAGTGTTTGTCTGGCTTGTGTGGTGCCTTGGGCTCCATTCCTAGGACTGCAGGTCTTGAGCTTAGACAGTACCTAAACTATTTGAAGATGCTAAAAGACAATTTTTCAAGTTTACTATTTTGCACACATAGAAGTGTGAATTATATATACCCATATATGTATGTATGTTCACCTGCACGGACACGTGTGTTAGGTGCACATATATGCACATCTGTATGGAAGCCGGAGACTGACCTGGGTGGGTGTCTTCCTTGATCACTTTCTGCTTTATTGCTGTGCAGGGTCCTCTCACCGGAACCCTGAGCCAGTCAGTTTAGCTAGTCTGGCTCCTGAGTGCTGGGGTTCCAGGTGAGCTGTTGTGCCCACATGGCTTTTATGTGGGTGCTGGGGACCCACATTCTGGTCTGCGTGCTTGCAAAACAAGCACTTTATCCACTGAAACTCATTCCCAGTCCCTGATCTACTGTTGTTTTGTTGTTGGTTTTTGTTGTTGTTTTTGAGGAAACAATGTAGAAATTAACAAAAAACTAAGAAAATTAAACCGTTGAAAGTGAAGCCAACATGGTTTATTCAAAATGTGAAATTAACAACCCTGTTCTTCTGAAGATCGAGGAAAACTTCAAAGGCAGATATTATTATTATGTAGAATATGACATGTGCAGTCATGACAGATAAGAAAGTTGCAATCTTTTTAGGTGAAATAGAAATCTTTTACTTAAACTAACACTTTGCAAAACCGATCAAAGCAGAGTGTTAATATCTACAAAGGGCTATTACATTTTTCAAAACATACTCATAACAAGAAGACACATGAAGTGTCGGGTCTGGACAGCTCCCTCAGAAGCATCACACATCCTGGTTGCTTTCAGGAGGTCAGCAAACACTGACGGCAGAAGTCGGCAAGCATCACCCAGTCCCTGGAATCTTCCCGGCAGAGCCAACAAGCTCTGAGCTACATGACCCAGGGCAGGCGTGTGACTGAGTCACAGTATGGACCCAAACTTATAAACCCCAAAGCCCACACAATCCAGCCAAGCCATGCTAAGGGGAAGCATGGCCTTTATTCTTAGCACTGCCGAGGAGAAAAATGGAGGCAGACAAGACAAGCTCCCAGCCCTCTTGGGAAAGTGACCTTAGAGGAGAGATACTTACTAATAACTGTCCTGGAAGGACAAAGGTTCTGTCTTGGAGGTTGTTCCAGTTGATGGGAGAGAATCAGAGAGTCTGTCGTTCTGGTGCAGCAGCTGGCTTATCTGTAGTGAGAGCTGGGAGAGGGCTTTGTTCTCAGGCACAAAGCATCCCGGCAGGGGCTTCCTTAGATGCTCAAATGAGCCACCTGACCACAGAAAGGAGACTAGGGTGAGTCCACTCCCCAGCTGAGAGTGGTCCTGTGGGCTTATAACTGGGCTGAGGGGAGCCTACCCACAAGGCTTACTGCTGGCCTGCCCACTACTCTGTCGCTGAAGAAACCAGTGGGTAAAGAGACAGACTTCTTATCCGCAGCTGTTGCCTTACCTGCAAAAGTTTGATGTCCCAGGAGAGTCTCAAATAGGTGATAAGCGACAACTCTCAGGTCCCTCCTTCATACCTCCCTCCTCCCAGCCATCCGCATGGCCTGCTGCCATTTGCTGGGACAAGAGTGAGATCAGGCTCCGACCCAGCTCAGTCATTGCCCTAGAGTCCTACCCGGAGAATTTACTGTCTTAGCCTACAGATTTGCTTCATCCGATAAACATAAAAATGGGACCCCTTTTCTTCTCAAGAAGAGAAAAGCCAACTTTTTGCACATACCGTGTCAGGAAGGGAAGCGGCGGCCAGGTCTCTGGCTGCAAAGCAAGGAGACCGCCTGTGTCACTTTTGGCGTAGCAGGTTCTGTTGCTGAAGTGTTAAGATGCTCAATGTCCTCGCTTAGCCTGGGGACAGCTTCAGGTCCCCCCCTCTACCTCCCAACGCTAGCTCCTCTTCGCCTGTTGGTAACATTTCATGTATGTGTATTTTTAGTTCTTTGAGGAAGAATGGGTGGCATGTCTGAATGAAAAAAAGAAATAAGAAAGGACCTGGCTGCTCCTAGCTGTGGTGGAGGAGAAAGTCTATTACAGATGTATGAGAGGACATAGCCCGAGGGAAGGAACAGGGATATCTGGGAGAATCCAGAGTAGACACTGTTCCCATTCAGGCATCTGTACCGGCCTGCCCTTAGGGTCCTGACAGGGTACATCCTCAGCTGCAACCACTAAGAGCACCCCCTGTGCGCATTCGCTGCAGTTCCTTAGAAAAGGCGGGCCTTGCCCACCCCTGTCTCTTTCTCTTTCTCTTCCTTCGCTCTCGTCCCCAGGGACCGGTCTCTACCCCCTTCTCTGCCCCTTCTCTCCCCTCCCCTCAATAAACCTCCCACACGGGCCCTGTTGTATGGCGTGACTCCTTCCTGCCACTTTTAAAATACAACCTACGGTGCTATGACGCGGATAGGCTCTCCCAGCAGTCTGAGACCTGCCGGGACCCTGAAACCTGGTCCACACGTGACAGCCCGACTTTCCCACCTAAGGGATCCCTGGGACTCTCCATCCAACACCGACGATTGGTACGCCCCCCTTCTTCACTTCTGGCCATTTCCCACGAGTGAGGCTTCGTTTCTCGAGCGCAGTCCTCACCTTCTGGCTTTTTCTCGAAGTCCTGATAGCAGGCGACTGTGTCTCACTCGGGCTCTTAACCCATCCGCCCCTGCTTTTTTGGATGATGATCCACTGAGCAGCCTGTGCCTCCCTCTCAGTCCTCACTGAATTTCTAGGACGCTAGTGATTCCAGCCCTTGGATCTTCTCTACCCCACTCATAGAAAATTGGCCTACCACCATACCTACCACCTGACTTAAGGGCTAAACTTATCCGCCTTTGCCCCAATACCCCTTAGATAACAACTCAAATGGCCACTTACCCGCACCCCATACCCCGATATTTCACAGGACCTTTCCAACTTCTGCCAGCAATCCGATAGATGGACGGGGGTACCCTGTTCTCAAGCTTTCTCCAAGCCCTTCTCTCTGTTCCTTCTTCCTGCTCTACTCAGCTCCTGCTAGCTACGAAGCCTGCGTCTGTGCCTCCCTGTTAAGCTGCGTTTCCCCTGCCCAGTCTCTGCTAAAGCAGTTACATCCTCACCTGTCGCCCGATCCTTTTCCACGGCATGTGCACCCTTCAAAAGTGCCCGCCAGGCAGAGCCCAACATTCTCTTTGCCTCGTCTCTTGCCTCTTATTCCTCTCCTTACCTCCAATTCCCTCTCTTGCCTCTTCTTTTCTCTTTTGCTTCTCTTCCCTCTCATCTGCCTGCCTCTCCCGAGTCCCCACTCCAACGCGGTCTTTCACTCCTTCACTCTCTCACTCTTTCGCTCTGCCCTTCCTGATAAACGTCTTGCACCAACTCTGTTGTGTGTGTGTGGCATGTTTGTTTAGCGGCATACCTTGACAGGGCATCCACTTCATGCTGGGACCTCGCCCGCCCGCCCGCTCCACCCCACAGCAGATCTGCTCTCTTCCACCCACAACTAATCTGCCTTCTTATTCACCAACAGATTTGCCTTCCATTCAGTACCAACAATTGGGTCTCTGGTGGGGCTACCTGCCTCTGACTGTTGAGGTAGCGCCCACACTACCACCACCTGTTCACCATGTCCGAGCGAGGGGCTGTGGATTAAAAAATAGAAGAAACATCAGGTCATTCACCCCAGCAGAATGCCGAATGCTGTTTATTGTAGGAGGGAGGAAACCTTAAATACAGGCTTACAGCACAATGGAGGATCCCCGGAGGGCAGAAGTTCGCTATCCAATGTTCTACATTCTTGCATCTAAGCTGTTTACACCAAATGCAGGATACACAAACAACCTCTTGTGAGCATTCAGGAAGAAGGAAATCGGCAGGGAATCAGTATAGGGAGGACATCTGGTCAAGGTTGGTCAAGGTCAGCAAGCAAGGCGGCAGTTACTCAAAATGGGGGTCCGGGGCCTACATCTGACCATTCCCCTGGATTTGAGACTGGCCTCAGTATTTCTTGGACCAGGCAGTTGGGGAATCAAGAAAGAATTCTCCACTTTCTTTTTCTTTGCTCTGAGAGCTGCTTGTGTCTGTCTTCTCTCTCTCTCTCTCTCTCTCTCTCTCTCTCTCTCTCTCTCTCTCTCTCTCTCAATGTCCTGTCTGTTTGCTGCAATGTGCAGGTGAGTCAGAGATGGAGAAGCCAGCTTCATCTGGCTCAGCACACACCTTTTATTTTAACTTATTCAACTCTTGTTTAATGTGTGTGTGTGTGTGTGTGTGTGTGTGTGTGTGTGTGTGTGTGTGTGTACATGATTTGGATTTAACCTTGTATGTGTAAATGTAAGCTGGGTTTAATTCTGTGTGTATGCGTATGTAACTAATGTCTAGAAAAACATGTTTTATAGAGCAACCATGTGGCTCTCCTCCATCTTGGCTGGTGACCTCATTATGATGTCTTGTGAGCTCCAGAGTCGACTTGGATCCACCTCAAACAACATCTTGCCAGGTCCAAGCAGGTGCCAGATGGTTCCACAGAGCCTGGACAGCAAAGTGAAACAGCCAGCTACCCAAGGGGCATGGCTAGTACCCTAGTTTTCTCAGGTCCCCCAAAGATGATTGACACACACACCCCAGGCCAGCAGGAAGCAGTCTTGAGAACACGGTACCCTCATCCGCGCCTCACCTGCTACCCCTTTCTAACTCCTCACCTTTTTATAATAAACAAAAGGTAGGGATGCTGGCATTTAGGCATCTGTACTGGTCTGCCCTTAAGAGCGCCCCCTGTGTACATTCGCTATGTTCCTTATAAAAGTCAGACCTTACCCACCTCCTGTCTCTTTCTTTCTCTTCCTTCGCTCTCATCCTGAAAGACAGGTCTCTGCCCCCTTCTCTGCCCCTTCCCTCAATAAACCTCCCACTGGGGCTCTGTTGTATGATGTGACTCCTTCCTGCTGCTTGTAAAATACAACGGACACAACCAGACTGAGCTGGGCCATGTGAGGAGAGGGGAGGGGGAGGAAAGAGGGGAACCAGGTGCAGCCGCCAGGAGGCCAAAGTTACAAGAGGGGCTGCTATCCAAACGGTTGAATTACACAGGGAAGAGCCTCTGAGGGAAGGGCAGCCCAGCCCCTGGGCTGGAGAGTTCAGGGTAGGGACTGAGGGATGCTGGGAGAACCCGGCAGCCAGGTCCAGCCATTTGTCCTGGGTTTGAAACTTAACATCCCAAACTTTTGTTGATAACAAATGAATGATAAGGGGCAACATAATCATCCATGACTACCTCCTGCTGACATTGGGGCGTTGTTGTTGGGAACCTAAAAAGTTGGAATGTTGGCCCAGTCCGGTAAGAGCAGACTATTTATCTTGCTGTCTAGGCTCTGCAGGACTTTCTGGGGCTAAGAAAGTGCTGGCAGCGGTCAGAGCAGTTTGAAGTCTTTGACTGGAAATCTGCGGGAACATATGTACGCTAAGGGCAGAAGGTAAAGCTAAGGAGTTTAGGGGGAAATTTTTTTCTTGGTTGTACAATTGATAGTTTTAGGCCCATGGTGCTGTTAGCTGAGAGTAGAATCCCTGAAACTTACAAAAATTGTTTTTTGTTTGACTGTTTTTGTTTTTGGAGACAGGGTTTCTCTGTGTAGCCCTGGCTGTCCTAGAACTCACTCTGTAGACCAGGCTGGCCTCCAACTCAGAGATCCACCTGCCTCTGCCTCCCGAGTTCTAGGATAAAGGCGTGTGCCCCCGCTACCACCAGGCAAGAATTACAAAAAGATTGTTTTAGATATGTTAGCATCACCACTGTTTGTAATGTGTACTGAAATCCACATCATAGAAAAGGCAACAGACTCATGCCTTTGAGTCATAGTAAAAAGCTTGCCGGTTGAGCGCTTGCCTAGCAAGCGCAAGGCCCTGGGTTCGGTCCTCAGCTCTGGAAAGAAAAAAGAAAAAAGAAAAAAAAAAAAGCTTGGGAACCAAAAAATGACTGGTTAAAAGCATGAACACATTTTCCTTTATCCAGAAGACTTGATGTGCATAGATTAGATGTTTTTAGCACAATGAAAAGCACTTTTAAATCTACACTTAGAAGACAACCAGAGCCGGGTGGTGATGGCGCACACCTTTAATCCCAGCACTCGAGAGCCAGAGCCAGGAAGATCTCTGTGAGTTTGAGGCCAGCCTGGTCTACAGAGCGAGATCCAGGACAGGCACCAAAACCACACAGAGAAACCCTGTCTCAAAAAAACAAAAAACAACAACAAAAAGAAGACAACCAGTGGGCAGTGGTGGCAGCGCACGCCTTTAATCCCAGCACTTGGGAGGCAGAGGCAGGCGGATTTCTATGAGTTCAAGGCCAGCCTGGTCTACAGAGCAAGTTTCAGGACAGCCAGAGCTGTTACACAAAGAAACCCTGTCTCGAAAAACAAAACAACAAAAAAAGACAACCAGAGGAAATGTAAAATCTTGAGCTTGTGACTATGATAATAGCAGTCAGTGCTTACCAGAGCTAGATTAATAGCTTATCAAAACCCCATTGATTAATGCTAAAGCTCTGAACTTTTGAAGTCTTATTATAACAATAGCGTGGTGAATGAAAGAAATCTGAAGCATTTTCCCCCAATTATTTACCATGAGACACAAGTCAAGTGGTTGATTACTGACAGCACTCATTGTAAAGCGAGTTACTTTAAAGAAAGGAATAGTCAAGCTACTTTGAAACTTCCTTTGTGAGTCATTCTCTCTCTCTCTCTCTCTCTCTCTCTCTCTCTCTCTCTCTCTCTCTCTCTCTCTCTCTTTTCTCTCTTCTCCCCCACCCCCACCCCCACCCCACCCCCCAGTAGTAAGGTAAACTATGTCTAGACCTAGTAGTAGCTCTAGGAAAGTGAGGCCTGTGCCCTGATTTTTACACATGACGAGAACTGAGAAGGCAGCCGAAGCCTTGGTTGCTGCTGTTACATTGACAAAGCTCACTAACCCAGTCATTAGTGCCGGAGATTAGAGAAGGATACGTTCCACCTGAGTAAGACCGAGCAGCTTCCAAATCTATTAAAAATGAGAGACTTACCACTACCTGGACAATCCCTCTAGGTCCCTCCGTGGTCCTTGGGGGCAGCATCCATCTTTGGCTGCCAGGTCCAGAAGATCGGGCAGACTTTCCTGTGGAGTAGAAACTTGAATGGGACCCACCTACCTTGTCTAGGCAAAGCAGGGCAGTCAACTCCCCAGTGTCCTGCTTGTCCACAGTCTGGACAGGGTCCTGGCAGACGTGAAGGACAGTTTTTCACCCAGTAGCTCGCTTTGCCTCATTTAAAGCAAGCACCAGGTGGAATTCTCTGCACATCATCTTCTCTTGAAGAGATGGGGGTGCTGCCAGGAGCTGGCATGTCTCTCTATCATAAAAAGCCTTAAAAAATTTTTCAGCCATATATATGTGTATCTATATTTTTAAATTTAGTTATTATGTCTACAGTGTTCTGTCTGCATGTATGCCTGAAGACCAGAAGAGGGCACCAGATCTCATTACAGATGATTGTGAGCCACCATTGAACTCAGGACCTCTGGAAGAGCAGCCAGATGCTCTTAACTGCTGAGCCATCTCTCCAGCCCTATCTATAATATTTATAAAATGTCGCAGGAGTGATACCACAGAGGGGCACAAGTTCTCACCAACATCACATCTGGATGTGTCAGCTCACCACTACAACAGACTAAGTCGCAGATGAAGGGGACAGGCTTTGGGGCCGGGGGAGCCGATGTCAAGTCACAGAACAGCTGTCCAGGCAGGCTTGGTATGGGAGGTCTCCGAGGAGTAGGAGGAATCTGGTTAGAGGTCGAAGGGGGCGCTGGGGCTCTCAGGACGGGACGGACTTGCCTGACCCGATCGGCTGGCAGTTGGAGAGAAAGCCAAGAACGAACCAGAGAGAGAAAAGGAAGGAGAGCTGGTAAGGAAGAGCAGCCAGCCCCAGCGGAGGCAGGGGGATGAGGCAGGTGTGGATGTGGGCAAGGCTCCCGGAAAAGAGGCAGACAGGAGAATGAAAAAGGGAAGATGGGAGGTGCTGGGCCATAACTAGCAGGCGGTCTGGGTGGAGGCTGGACGGTCCTCTCTTGCCACGCATACGGCCTCTCACACACCACCCAGGCAATGTGCCCACAGGGCCCCCCTCTTCTCTGGTCACTGTTTCTCCCATCCCACCGGCCCAGGGCCACCCCAAGCCTCGGGGAGTCCCATGTAACAGCCATGAGGCCAGAAGTGCTTGAACCAGGAGAGCGAAGCTAAAGGGGATGACTGGAGGGAGCACTTCAGGGAGCACTGAAGGCCTCTCGGGTGTTCAGAAAGCCCAGGAGTCCTCCGAGGGGATCCTGGGGAAGCTGGGAGGCAAGCAGCCCATGTCTGTGGCCATAGACTTACAAATCTAAGAGGGGAGCCTGCCCTGGTCAGGGGGCTGCAGGTCGCGTCGGTGAGGCTGGGCCCTTCCATAGCCGACACTCCTCAGGGGTCCCTGGTAGTGATTCTGGGAACCCCAGGTGGGGGCAACTGGGACGCCAGAGCACCTGGGGAGGGGAGCCAAAGGGATCCCGGGAAGCCCCTGGCCTGGAGGGCACCTGGGGCGGGAGGGGGAGGGGTTGCGCTGGGAGATTGGTACTGCAGCCTGGGGCTAGAGGTGGGGGCCAAAGGAAAAAAGCCTTAAAGGTTTTTTAAATGCCGAATAA